GGCCCGCGTCCGCCGCTTTGCCACCAGCGCGCGTCGCCGCGTCCGGTTCTACACGGACCCCGTGGAGGTGGTGAGGGACATCCGGGACGGCGCGACCGTCATGTGCGGGGGCTTCGGGCTCTGCGGGATCCCCGAGAACCTGATCGCCGCGCTGCTGCAGACGCGCGTGAAGGACCTGACGGTGGTCAGCAGCAACGTGGGCGTGGAGGACTTCGGCCTGGGGCTGCTGCTGGCCGCCAAGCAGGTCCGCCGCGTCGTGTGCTCCTACGTGGGCGAGAACTCGCTGTGCGAGCGCCAGTACCTGGCGGGCGAGCTGGAGCTGGAGCTGACGCCGCAGGGCACCCTGGCCGAGCGCATCCGCGCGGGCGGCGCCGGCGTGCCCGCCTTCTACACGCCCACGGGCTACGGCACCCTGGTGCAGGAGGGGGGCGCCCCGGTCCGCTACTCCCCGGACGGCCACCTCGCCATCCTGAGCCAGCCCCGCGAGGTGCGGGAGTTCGGCGGCGAGCACCACCTGCTGGAGCGCGCGCTCCGCGCGGACTTCGCGCTGGTGAAGGGCTGGAAGGCCGACCGCGCGGGGAACGTGGTCTTCCGCCGCAGCGCCCGCAACTTCAACGCGCCCATGTGCAAGGCCGCCGACGTCACGGCGGTGGAGGTGGAGGAGGTCGTGGACGTGGGGTCCTTCCCGCCGGAAGACGTCCACGTGCCCAGCATTTACGTCGACCGCGTGATCCGGGGGCCGCGGTATGAGAAGAGGATCGAGCGCCCGGCCGTCCGGACGGAGGAAGGCCCGGGAGCCAAGCGGAAAGACGACCCCAACACGCGGATCATCCGACGGGCAGCCCTGGAGTTCGAGGACGGCATGTTCGCCAACCTGGGCATCGGCATCCCCCTGCTGGCCAGCAACTTCATCGGCCCCGGCATGACCGTGCACCTCCACAGCGAGAACGGGATCCTGGGCCTGGGCCCGTTCCCCACCCAGGACGAGGCGGACGCGGACCTCATCAACGCGGGCAAGCAGCCGGTCACGGTGCTTCCCGGGGGCTGCTGCTTCTCCAGCGACGAGTCCTTCGCCATGATCCGCGGGGGCCACCTCCAGCTGACCATGCTCGGGGCCATGCAGGTTTCCAGATACGGCGACCTGGCCAACTGGATGATCCCCGGCAAGAAGGTGAAGGGCATGGGCGGCGCCATGGACTTGGTGTCCAGCCAGAAGACCAGAGTGGTGGTCACCATGCGGCACTGCACCAAGGACAACGCCCCCAAAATCCTGGAGAAGTGCACCATGCCGCTGACCGGCAAGCGGTGCGTGGACCGCATCATCACGGAGAAGGCGGTGTTCGACGTGCACAGGAAGAGGGGGCTGACGCTGATCGAGCTCTGGCAAGGCTCCACCGTGGACGACGTCCAGCAGAGCACGGGGTGCGCCTTTGCCGTGGCCCCCGACCTCAGGCCCATGCAGCAGGTGGCGCTCTGACGCCGGAGGCCGGCCTGGAGGGCGGTCGCCTGGGGAGCAGGTGTCCGGCAGGGCAGGCGGGTCTCCCGGGGTGGGCTGTGCTCCTCGGAGGGGCGTGGCTTCAACCGAGAATTAAACACAACGGGAAAGCAGACCTGCTCGTGTCTTCGATTCGGCGCCCGCCCCCGGGGGCGGCAGTGGGTGCCCTCTGCACCTTGTGGCGTTTCCATTAAGCAGACGCACGGCAGTGTCCACAGCAGGATTTCATTCAGGGGCCTTCCCGCATAATCGAGTCAGAAGTGTAGCCACAAAACGGTGAGGGGGGAAATGACCACCCAGAGCACACGCTAGGGCCGTTTTACCACCGCCGCGAAAGACAGACGAACGTTGAGGTGAATCTGCGATGGAAAGAGAACTTCTTTTCCTTCAGCCCCTCTGACTTTTCGTCTTGTTGGTAACCTGGGGTTCCCTGCAGCCCCCCTCCTCCTCCCACGTGCCTCCTGCCCGCACCAACTAGATGTCCCTAGTGGGAAAGAAAGGGGGGGAGAGACAGTGAGGAAGGGCCGGTGGTGCTCTTGCCGGGAAGCTTCCTCTATAAACAGGCTGCCTGTTCGCATGTGGCCAGAGGCGCCCGCCTAGGAGAGGAGGTGGAGGCGTTCTGGAGACCTAACCCATGGACTCGGTGAGTTTTCTTCTCATCTTCGGTCGTGATGTTCCGGCATCCTCCAGACACTTAGGCCTTCCTCCCTTGATGAAGGCTCAAGCTGGCCTCTTGTGTAGGAGCTGTGAAGCATTTTCTCCTGAATCCACAGTCTCAAAACCTAAAATGAAAAAAAGAAGGTGTGTGTGTGTGCTGTTGAAAACTAAGCCTGGATCCTTTTGTAGTTCATATACAGGATGATTAGGTATTCGTGCACGTGTGTGAGATGTGCCACCCTCAAGCCTTGTTATGAAGTCAGCACGTCTGACATGAAAACAAAAAGTAAACCAAGCCTGGAATGGATCGTGCACTGTGTAACTGTAGCTCCAGGGGTTCACATGGCTGATGGGCTCATGCTGGTTAGAGCAGCAAATTCTCGCTGGTCGAGGGCGGCCTTTTTGAAAGCCCCATTGGAGCCTCGCCCCCGCAGGAATGGCTGGACCCTCGAATGGAGAGATGGGGAGGGAGAGACAGTGCTCACAGAGGGGACAACCTGGGGGTGTGCGGTAGTGGCAGGGACTATGGCCAGGTGGGGAATGAAATGAAATGTCACTAAGTGGACAGTGGGGCACCTTTGGGGGCGCCTGGGAGGGGCACGTGCTTTGTCCTGGGTGTCAGGAGTTTTCCGGCAGCAGCGTGGGAAAGGCCGAGGTATCCAGGAACAGACGAGTGGGACTCTGGGCCCCACCTCTGCCTGGGAAGGGGTCTGCCCATGGAGCAGCCTTGGGGCCACCACCGAGACTGCCCGGCCTTCCTGCAGCCAGAGAGCCAGGGCCCTGCCCAAGGATAGGTGGGCAAAAAACAGAGCCATTAGAGGTTGTGGGCGTCTGGGCTCTGAAAGGAGGGGGTCTTCCCCAGGCCTGCCAGATGCAGAGCTCTGAACAAAGCCGGTGCTTCCCCCTTGCCACCCTCCTGCTCCCAGCCAGGCCGCGGCAGTTTGCTGGGAAAGCAATGACAATCCCGGCTCTGGGGACTTGAACAGCTGCTGCTCTCTCTGGGCCTTAGTTTCTACTTCTGTGAAATGGGAACCAGGATAGCTGCTTCCCAGGGTCCCCAGTCAGGCTCACCTGGCCCATGAGAGCCGTAGAGGGGTCCCTAGCCCTCAACACAGGCTGGCTCAGAGGAGCTTCGTGAGGGTTTGTGGAATAACTGATCTAATATGTGATTCTGGTCTGTGCCAGGAGACCCCCACAAGACCCTTGCACATAGACGGCTGCACAAAAGAAAAGCAAATCGTAAAAAAGCCTGGGGCCTGATGGCCTCCCTGGCCCCGTGGTGCCAGGGCTCCCCAGGGAGCCACAGGATGGAGCAGCACACGCAGCCTTGGAGGGCTGCCCCTGGTCCAAGCCATCCCCATGTACCAGCCAGCCTGCAGAGTCCACGTGTGGCCGCCGGCCACCCCGCTCGCGCGCTGTGTTCCCCCCATTGAGACCTCACCGGTCCTTCCCTGTGCCCCTGAGGCTCTGCTTCCTGGTAGCTCAGCTGCTTCCCCATAACCTTGACTCACCAGGACCCAAAATGCCCAGTGGCTTCCCTCTGGGCCTCCTTCCAGCATCGGCCCCTGCAGCTCATGGCCTCCCCGTCTCGGCAGCCCTTGTCCAGGTTCCTGAGAAGGAGCCTCTCCTTCTCAGGACGTGTTTGTGGCAGGTGAGGTCACAGGTCAAAGGTCGGTCTCTGGATTGATAGGTTGTTCAAGCAAGTGGCCAGTGGACACCTGGGATGAGGCACAGCTGCTTAAGGGCTGACCTTTGAGTGGGACCGTGGGTGGGGCAGGCAGTGTCCTTGAGCTGTAATAGATCATGGAGCACTGTGTTAGGGATAAGTAAATCTGTATTTCAAATGCATATATAAATGTGTATAAATCTAATGTCTATATAAATGCATGTATGTCTGTGTATTTATATATACACATATACTGTGTGTGTGTGTGTGTGTGTGTGTGTGTGTGTGTGTGTGTGTGTGTGTTTTGGGCTTGTAACATGGAGGCAAAGTGTGCTCTCTTGTAAACCAAACAGTTGGGACTATGTTCAAAGAGACATAAAATGAGCCCAGAATCACACTTCTGCAATGCCATATAAGGAAATTCCACACACTCCCAAGATGCAGAGGCTCTGTGACACACTCATCTTTGTAGTAAGAGCCAGGAAATACCCACATGTCTAATGATAAGCAAATATCTACTTAAATCATGGTATATCTGCTCTAAGGGATTTTGTACAATTGAAATGCTTGTGGTAGAGACTTTTTTAAACAACCAGAAATATGTTTATGTTCAAAATCTGAAGAAAATAGACTTCTTTTCTGGGCCAACAACTGTATACAACTTAAATCAACATAGTGAAAATAGCCCAGAAAAGTGAAAATCAATGTATTGGCCTTGGTGGGGTTTTAAAATGATATTTTTTGTCAAAAATTTTTTTTACTACAGTTATTTATTGCTTCTGCAATAGAAAAGAAAAGGTGGCTCTCTGAAATCCAGACAAGTAAGGTAGAATGCGTAGTTTTACTGGTGAGGCTTTGTGTGTTCAGGGTTCATGACCATTTCTTAAGGGCATCCTCAGTCTGGATGCGGCTGGGGGGAAAATCGCAGTTTCCAGGCTTCTCTCTTCCTAGGGCTGCGGCCCAGGCCACATCCCTGCCTGCAGCCTTCTCTTTCTTCTTTCTATCCTTCAATTTGGCCTTGTAAATAAGAATTTGGGCTCTGGAATTAGACCGGCTCTGGACTTGGTTCCAATATCTCTTCCCCACTGAGCCTGGTGTCTCCTTTGTGGGTATCAGAGAGGCAGTTCACGCCTTGCCCTGGGGCTGTGCCCAGCAGGGCAAGCACTCACTAAAGCAGGCAGAGACTGCCATAAGCTGTCTGGGTCATAAGTGCCACATTCACACTCCAGAAAGTGCAGCCAGGAGACAGAACATGGGCATGGGTCCTCGGACTGAATGAGGTGGGAGCCCTGGTCCGGGAGTCACAGGCAGTGGGACTCTCGGCCATCACTGAAGGCTCTGAAGTGCTTCTGTAAAGGATGAACTGTGGGGTGACTGGAACGACCAGATGAGGTCACCAGCGGGCGGAAAAGTCTTTGACAGCTCTAAAACGATCGTCACTACTGACACCAGCAGCTCACTGAGGCCCTCCCCCCACTCACTTCCTCCAGATCCACCTGCCAGGGCGCTGGGGCTGGACTTGACTCTGGGCTTCAGATGAGGAAACTGAGGCTCAGTGGGATCTCTCAGGGTCTGCGTCCAGGTGCAAGGGTGACCCCTCTCTCCTCTCTCTGTCTCAGGGCACAGCGTGGATCCTGGCCTGGCCGGCCTAATGGGGCAACGGGCACCGCGCTCCAGACAGCCTTTCATGGTCACTTTCTTCAGGGCCAGTTCGAGTCCTATCCGCGCCCCTCGGGCTGTGAGGCCACTGAGGAGGAGGCAGCCGAAGAAAACCAACGAGCTGCCGCACCCCCACAGACTCCCGGGGATCTTTGGTGAGGTCTGGGGCTGGGCTTAGTCTGAGGTCCCACAGGCTTTCAGCTGGGAGAGACAAGGCAGGAACCAGGTGGTGGCATAGGATCCTCAGGGCCTCAGTACGCTTCAAGCTGATGGTCACTTGCCAGCCACCTTTCCTGACAATGTCTTTGCACTGATGTATCCTGATGACTGGCCACTCCAGAGACCTCTGGCCTAGCTGGCTCCTCCAGGCCTTTCCCAGGAGCCTCCATCAGAATCAAATGCCTCTTACCTGGGCAACGACAGCCCCTCTTAACCCTTGGCTGTACCCTGGGCACTCTGGAAGATCCTCAATTGCTTATGCAAAGGTGTTGCCTCAATGCGCCAAGTCTTTCGAGATCAGGGACAGGCCTGCCTTGACCACATGCCCTTCCTCATAGGGATCTGGCTGGCCTCAGTGTGAGCCACTTGAACTTGTGGAATGGGTATGGCAGGAGAGGGTGGCCTGGAGGCGGGGGGAGCTCCAGAGGAAAGGAGGAGGCACAGGATGGCTAAGGGTCTTGCTGGGCTCTTTATTGGGGCATCAGGAGCCCCCAGGCTGAAATAGAGGGGCATCAGGCTGAGCACAGATTACTCTAGTCATCAGGAGCCATGGAAGTCTCTTGAGCT